TTTGATAGTTTGTGACATGTTCCTCATGACGCCATTCCATATCCTGTGCTCTTGTGCCGAGCCTCGCCGAGATTTGTTGCAAGCGCTGTTACAAAAGTACCCATCCCATGTTCTTGGTTGGAAAGATACCAACGGCAAGCGAGCCATGGACTATCTCGCAATTAATTGGACTCCTGAAACGGCATCTTTACTTCAGATGGCCCTCCAATTCTGGATGCTCCATCCAATCCAACGGTGGGGCGCCACAGCATGGTTCAGTGATATGGAAGATAAAGTGAATGCTATCCTTGTGAATGATCACAAGGACAACAGAGCAGGTTTGTTGAGGAAAGCTTGCTCCAAAATGGATGACCATCGAAGGAACGAAAGCATGACGATATTGGAGCTGGCCATGTGGAACAAAGCGCTTGGATCCTTGGTACGACGGAATTCCAGCATTTCTCGACGACATCTTGTTCTAAACACATGTGGGTCGAGTTGTGTGCTCTCAAACGTGGCTCCTTTCTTGGGCTTTGATTCGGATTATTAGCAAAATGTATATAGTTTGAATAGAAACGGAATCATACTTATTATTGCTTCCGGTAGCATTTTACTCTATAAAAACAAGGGATGAGGGAATGGGTGCAATGAATCATTCCCACAAAGAGTCAATCAATCAATCAGATGATTCCAGTAGTTCGAAGGAGTCGATTGCGTCAATCCCTCGTCTCGCGCTCCAGTCGATCTCATCTCAATCTCTCAAAATTTGCCACGTACCCACGTTCGACCTTATATTTACTTAGCTGTATGCCGCGTGTGACGTATTCAAAAAACTCATCATTAGTTCGGCAAGCATGACACGACATCAAAATGAGTTGAAACCAGCACAGCATCTCCCTTCGCATCATCATTCGTCAATCTTGTGAAAGGGCAATCTCCCATTCGTTCTTCAGTCTCTTTTCGATCGCAAGGCAACGCAAACTCTACACAGTAGGAGACAACAAGAATTTTGTTTCATTCTTCGTTCTAGTAGTGGAATCAATCAATCAATCAATTAATCAATCACATCTACTCGCATTATTCGTTGTTCGCATTCAATATTTGAGTTGAAAGGCGGGTAAACTATTACGGAAAACTTGGATAACAAAACAAAATCAATCAAGACAACATGCCACCGGACGCAACCACAAACGACCCGGCTGCATTAGACGAAGTCGAAGAGGAACTTGTCCGAGAAGTGGAACGGTATCCCTGGATATGTGGGGGTGGACTCAAGCCTCAAACGGGGAAAGACTTGGGAGTGTACGAGTCCTCTTTGGAAGATCGAGCAAATTGTCTATCCCTCTGGTCCTTGAGTTATCTTAACCCACTCTTGGCTTTGGGATCAAGAAAAGTTCTAAATGCTGGAGATGTTGGAGTTCCATCCAAGCAAGATAGTTCAAGCGAATCTTACGAAAAGGTAAAGAAGGCATGGGATGAACAAGTCAAGATTGCCGATGCCCATAACAAGAAGATTATGG